TATGAGAAAGTAATGGCCATTTGAAGTAAAAGATAAAAATATGTTGTTGTTTTGAGAAAAGTCAAAGTCAAACGGTCAAATCTTGGGTCAACGCGGTGCAGAGGATCGACTTACATGACGCATAGATAAATGGAGTCACAAGACAAGTGTCAATCGCTAAAGGACACATGGAAACCGGGTAGTACATGTGGCAACGAATACTACACGCGATGGTTTTCCAGAGAGAAACTAACTTGGTCGCGGCCCGACCATCTGATTATCATGGCATGGTGTTGGTATAGTGTGTGTGTGTGTGTATATATATATATATATACATATATATATATATATATATATATATATATATATATATATATATATTGTAACACCCGTTTCCTAGAATGGATCAGTGGATGGTATAAGAGAGTCAAAGGCATGGTTTTTGAGGAAAACCATGTGCCCCAACGTGGTGCATAGGGTGTCACAACGTGACATGCTATATGGTGAATACGCGTTTTGGGAAGGCACCACAACATGGAAGTAGAGTGGCCACGACATAGCGATCGTGGCAGCCCAATACCATGATTTTTAGGGTTTTATCCATATTTAAGCAGCTTAACTTCAAGTTAGGGCATCCTTTTCAGCCTCCAACCTCTCCATTTCGAAAACCATATACCCTTTGAGTGTTCTTGGCCATTTGAAGACTCATTTATCATATTTTGGTGTGGATCTGAAAGACCAAGTTTCTTGCAAAGTGTTTTGGTGAAGATCTCAAGTGTAGATCTAGCAAGAGGACTTCATTTCTGGACCATTGTGAGTAAAAAGCTTTCATATTGATATTTAGTTTGCTAGATCTTGTAGTTTGATCATTTATGTGCCTTTTTGGTCCTTGTGAGCTTGTACTCGGAGTTGAATGAACTTCAACACCTCTTGAGCTTATTTTATCATCTCATAATCTTGTTGAATTGGGAAAGTTTGCATCTTGATCTTATTCTTAATGCCATGCATGTTTTGAGGAAGTTTTTATGCTATTAAGGACTTAGGGTTTAGGATCTTGTCTTGTGGTGAGGTCCTAATGGATAAAGTTGGAAACATTATCCATTAAGTCATTGTGAAAGAATAGATCTGAATATTTTGAGGCTTGATATGTAAGCATTAAGCCCTTAATGGAGTTTTGGTACAATCTGCTAATTTCCACGACGTTTCCTAGGAAGGCCCATGTCGTGGCGGAGCCCAAAGTCGCGACTGTTTTGTCCTGGCATTGCCACGACGTAGCTAAGGAGGGCCCACGACGTGGTAATGTTTTTCATGTTGACTGTTTGGCCTTGCATTCCCACGACGTGCCAAGGAGGACCCACAACATGGCATGGTCTTTGACCAAGTTGATTGTTGACTTTTGACCAGTTTGACTTGGGGTCAAACTTGGATGATTTGGGTTGTTAATTGAGGATTCATTTCTTTTGGTGATTAGTCGACTTGCGAGATTAAGCATTGCAAGGTGCGAGAGTGTTGTTGTGCTTGTTCGGTTCATCAGGTGAGTTTCTCACTATGCCACGTATCACATTGTATATCCTTTGCGTGGTAGGATAAAGGTACTGTTAGAGTAAAAGTATTCTAGTGGCCTAGGGAAGGTCCTTGTTATGACGTGCATTTTAGAGCACTTGGTGATTTTGTATGCTATACTAGTAGGGTCTTGACTGTTGATCGTATGCTTATGTTGGAGGTATGTTTGATAGGGTAACTAGGTAAGGCTAGTTGCCAAGGGAATTTACTATGTTAGTTAAACATGTGCTTATGCTATATGGTTATATGGTAGTGATAGCTTAGGTCCTATATAGTCTAAGTTAGATAGCTTGAGAACTCTTGGTCTAATGCTTGATTATGATGTTCTTGTCTGATTGTTCGCTCTCGGGTGGATCATCTATTCGACTAGCTATCTGACCCCTGGCTACATATGACTTTACGTCTTGTATCGAAGACCAGGAGGCGGCTCCTGGCAGTGGAGGTTAGGTGGGTCCTGATATACACAGTTGGGCGGGACCCGTTATGTATGGTTGGGAGGGGCCCGTTATGTATGGTTGGGAGGGGCCCGTTATGTTGGGTGAGGCCCGTTATGTTGGATGAGGCCCGATATGTATGGTTGGGCGGGGCTCGTTATGTATAGTTGGGCGGGTTCCATTATGTATGGTTGGGTGGGCCCTGTTATGTGAGTTGGGTTGGGCCCGTGAACTCTTGTGTTGGGCCAGTTGCATATGATGCATGTATATGGTTAGGAGATTTGGTTGCTCGACGCTAGAGCCAGGATCTTGTGTGGATGCATCGTATGTATGATGGAATATGTGGTATACTGGAGAACTCATTAAGCTTTATGCTTACATTTGTGGATTAAACATTTTTGCATGTCGTTCGTGAGAAGAGCTCGGCGGGACTGTACACTCGCATCGAAGATATTTGTTTCTACAGTTTTGCAAACTTAACTTTGATAATGTATGGCTTCAAACAAATAGATGTTACTCAATGGCTTTGAAACAAAGGTTTTAACAGACTATTAAATTTTAAAAATACAAAAATCTCTTTGTAATTTTTGGGACGTTATAAGTTGGTATTAGCGCCTTGATTTGAGGGATTTTGGCATACCTTGCGGTGTGTCTGAACTCAAACTGAGGACTGAGAGATTTTCTAAATTTGTTTTTTAAAAGAAAATTCTTTTATTCAAGGAAACAATTTTCTAAAAAGATTTCGTAAGAAATGGAGAATGCGATGCATACAATCGGCCGGAGCTCAGGAAGTAAGTAGTTCCCAATATACCCATATGATCGTGTATTTGTGCTATGAACTCTTATGCATGCTAGAATGTATCGGGGATTAGCCTCTGTGGTTGATGTCCATATTCGAGAAGGGTACCCATAATCACAAGGATTTGTCTCATCAATTGTGCTCTTTGTCTTGGAAAATTTTGAGCTTGAGCTGGAGTTGAACGATTTACAGGGAGAAGCTATGAAAGTTGAAGAAATCGATTGATCAAGAGGAGCCATATGCATTACGCCCTAAATTGATTTATTAAGAGGTATTTTCATTTCATGCTGAGTAGATATGTTAATACACCAACTAAATATGCTAAGTTACTAATAATATGCCAACTCATCTACCTGAAAGATTTAGTTACCATAAGGTGAGATTTAAATAAAATATGTACTCGGTTGGTGTTTTTTTCATATTTTTTTTTTACAAAATCCTCAGTTTGATGATATTTTTTGAACAAATAAAACGTCAATAATATTTTTTTGAAGGATTTAAAAAACGGGATAATGACTTAGGAGGGTAATAACGTTTCCCGTTTGTCCATATTAGGTCCATAACGTATTTTTTGTGTGTATTACACCATTAAGGTTGTTATAACCGTTTAGAAATAATCATTTTTACCGGTTTCTTCCTGTTAAAAGGACTATTTGTAAACAGTTAGAATAACCTTAATGGTGTAATACGCACAAAAAATACGTAGGGACCTAAAATGGACAAATAAGAAACGTTATTACCCTCCTAAGATTTTTAGTATTTATTATTTTGAATATATATTTTTAAGATTTTTAGTATTTATTTTTATATGTGTATTTCCTATAAAGTTGTTGAAGTTAAAAAGAATAAAAAGTAGAAAGGTTTGGATTGGATTGGATTAGATTGGATTTTGTAACCACATCATCCGGTTAACCTCTAGCAAAACAAAACCTCTAGCAATGAGCTAGAGAGAAGAAAAAATTAAGGCCGGATTGGATTTTGTAACCACATCACGGATAGATGAAAACACAGGAAGGTCCAAATGAAGCCAATGCCCAACCCGACTCTAAACCTGATCAGCAACCGAAAACTACAGCAACAAATGCTTCACACTTTCTTGAGAATTATGACATACAGGACACAATAAGGAATCTATCACCACCCCCCTTTCCACCAGTTTAGCTCTTACCGGAATGCGATCCAAAAGCTCACACCATAAAAAATGTTAATTTTAATAGGGACAAAACGGTTCCACCTAGTAGACATACTACCTATAGGAAGCGTCATATCATTAACCAAATTCCGTGCTGATTTAACAGTAAAGATACCCGACGGTTCAAGCTCCCAAGACCACTTATCTGGCATTTCCCCTATGCGAATAGGATTTAATATCTCCACAAGATAATCAAATTGGGTCGATTCAGCCCCTCCTCTAATCCCCCGACGCCAATGAAAATTCCATCCCCCCGAATCCCATTATTCACTTACTCGAGCATCTTGATTAAAGGTCAAAGCAAAGAGCCTCCCGAACTGCTCCCTAAGAGAAATATCCAAGCACCAAACATCCTTCTAGAACCTCGTTTGAGTCCCATCCCCCACCACTCTATACATGGAATTAGAAGGAATACAACCATTCTCATGGAGATGATTAATGGATCCTACAATCTTTTGCCAAACACCCCCTCCAGTTCCTATTCTCGAATCGTCCAAAAAATCACCACCTTCCCCATGACAAAATTTGACAATTATAACCCAAAGATCTCCCTTGTCATTAAGAAACCACCACTTCCATTTATAAAGAAGGCCGAGGTTAAAAGCATCCAAACTACCAACCCCAAGACCTACAAGTTTCTTATTTAAAAAGTAAAAATTTACTACAGGGGTTTATAGTTTCATACGGGGATAATGATTTAGGAGGGTAATAACGTTTTCCGTTTGTCCATATTAGGTCCCTAACGTATTTTTTGTGTGTATTACACCAGTAAGGTTGTTATAACTGTTTAGAATTAATCCCTTTTACCGGTTTCTCCTGTTAAAAGGACTATTTGTAAACGGTTATAATAACCTTAACGGTGTAATACACACAAAAAATACGTTAGAGACCTAAAATGGACAAATAAAAACGTTATTACACTCCTAAATCGTTATCCCTTTAAAAACTCACTTGCCCTTGTAAATCATTTTCCCAGAAATTAATCATACACTCCTGGTTCACCACTTCACATACAAATGACTGAATGAGGGACCATTTTGGAATTATTTCCGATTTCCGAACAATTTCTTGCTTCCAAGCAATGCAATAGTTATTTTGCCTTATCTTCCATCTCTTTCTTCCTCGTCGTTCTCTCCGCCAATGAAGTCAGCAGCAGCGATAATGTCAGGCCTTACTCTCTCTAAATCGCCGCCGCGCTCCGCCTACCTATCGTCCTATTCACCCCACCGCTGCTTCAGCTTTTTCTCTCTATCACTCCCGATTTACCGTTCTCTGAACTCCATGAAGAGGCCCCCAATTCATGTCAGTCATAGTAACCCGATGTTCATCGTTCGAAATTCGTCTTCGAGCTCTTCCGGTTCTTCTTCGATCACCGCCAAACCCTCTTCTGAGATGCGCAAGCATTACAACGGAAGCGGTAAAGGAATCGATCGAGATCAGAAGCTCACCGCCCTCCGTGAGCTTTTCGGGAAGCCCGGTATTAATATCGACGCGTATATCATTCCCTCTCAGGATGCTCATCAGGTTTGATTCTATCCCTTTAACTAATATCATTTTGAATCACAAACAAAGTTTTCTCTTAGTGTTTCAAAGTATTTCAAACGTACCAAGGTTTTGAACCCGTTGTGCAATGAATACAGAGTGAATTTATCGCCGAGTGTTATATGAGAAGGGCCTACATATCAGGTTTTACTGGTAGTGCTGGGACTGCAATTGTTACAAAACATAAGGCAGCTCTTTGGACAGATGGGCGATACTTTCTCCAGGTTTATCCAGTGCTCTCAGTTCTTTACTTCTTTACATTCCAAGGTTATCACCATTACAAAACATGTCTGTTTGATTGTTTCTTTTTTTGATTTTCTTTATCGTTTTCATTCCTAGGCAGAAAAGCAATTGAGCTCGAGTTGGATCCTTATGCGTGCTGGTAATTGGGGTGTTCCCAACACTACTGAATGGCTCAATGATGTTTTAGCTCCTGGTGGCAGAATTGGCATAGATCCCGTGAGTAATATTTTGAATTCTTGTGATGTGTTTGTTGATATTACCATGTTTTCATATGCTTGTGTCTGATGCCACCTTCTGTTCTATTTGTGAAGGGAGCAGTTTCTTTTTTCTTCTGATGCTGTAAATGAATTGAAGGAAGCTGTTGCTAAAAGCAATCATGAGTTGGTATATTTATATGATGTTAATCTTGTGGATGAAGTATGGAAAGAATCAAGGCCAATGCCTCCAAATAAACCTATTCGAGTGCATGATCTTAAATTTGCTGGTGTTGATGTGTCAACTAAGTTATCTAATTTGAGGTCTGAACTCACTAATGCTGGATCATCTGCAATTGTTATATCTATGCTTGATGAAGTTGCATGGCTACTGAACTTGGTAATGTTTTTAACTTCCTTAGATGCCCATTAGTAAATCTGTTGGGGTTAAATGCAAGAAATTGCATTCTTTTTCTTCATGCATCATTTTTCTTCTTTTTTTGGCAGAGAGGAAATGATGCTCCACATTCTCCTGTTATGTATGCATACTTGATAGTAGAGATTAATGCAGCAAAACTCTTTGTTGACAAGTCAAAAGTGACCCCTGAAGTGAATGATTACTTGAAGAAAGCTGGCATAGAGTTAAAACCATACGACTCCATTCTTTCTGAAATCGAAAGGTGAGTCTAAAGCACTACATAATTTGTAATTTTGTTTAGTTATATATGCAATTGGATGATGCTATTTTTACTTGAAACTTGTCTATGTCCTTTAGCTTAGCTGCACGAGGGGCCCACCTTTGGTTGGACACATCATCAGTTAATGCTGCTATTGTAAGCACATATGCAACTGCTTGTGATAAATTCTTAGAAGGCCTTGGTAATAATAGTAAGAGCAAAGGAAAGAACTTATCTGGAGCACCTTCTGCATTTTGTAAGAGCTCTCCCATATCTCTAGCTAAAGCAGTGAAAAATGATGCTGAGTTGGAAGGGATGCGTAATTCTCATCTAAGGTAAACTAAATGACCATTATACCCTTATCTGAGGCACCTTATGAAATTTAAGTATTGTATGGAACTATGGATAAATGATGTCTGCTTGGAGTAAGTGGTGTATGAAGTATCAACAAAGATTGTTTCTTTTTTAGAGTAAATGACGATTATACCCTTGTGTATCAGGGATGCAGCTGCTCTTGCTGAGTTCTGGTCATGGCTGGAGGAGGAAATGAGTAAAAAAACAGTACTCACAGAGGTTGAAGTTTCAGATAAACTTCTTGAATTTCGTTCAAGTCAAGCTGGTTTTGTTGATACTAGCTTTGATACTATAAGTGGTATGGCAATTGCCACATTTGCCCCTTATCATTCACAAATAAGAAAATAATTTCCTTAATGTGATAAGAAGAAAATTACGATTTTGACCTCACAGGTTCTGGTGCAAATGGTGCTATTATACATTATAGAGCAGAACCAGAGAGCTGTAGCATAGTGGATACACAGAAGCTGTTCCTACTAGACAGTGGGGCCCAGTATCTTGATGGGACAACTGATATAACACGAACAGTTCATTTTGGTCAACCTTCTGAAAGACAAAAAGAATGCTTCACCCGAGTTCTTCAGGTGCTCAATTTTTATTAAAATTCTTTTAATAGTTTTGATTTAGGTATTTATATAAAATATAAAAAATTTGCAGGGTCATATAGCACTTGATCAAGCAGTATTTCCAGAAAATACACCAGGTTTTGTACTTGATGCATTTGCACGTTCTTCCCTTTGGAAAGTTGGACTTGATTATCGCCATGGTAATTTATTTTTCATTTAAACATTTTTCTTAAAATCTTGGGTTAATCTCAAAAAAGACCTTATATTTTGTGTTTTTTCCGAATTAAACCTCAATTTATTTTTTAAAAAGAGCTTGTATTTTTTCATTTTTTTCCGATCTGGCCCTTTCAGTCATTTTTTTTTCCAAAAAAGTTGTAAAATGTGAGGGGTTTTTCGAGAAAAACTAAAAAAGTTGAGGGTTTATTTGGAAGCATTTAGAAGGTTGAGGATTTTTTTTGGAAAAAAAATACAAAGTTGAGGGCTTTTCGGAAAAAAATGAAAGCATACAAGGTAATTTTCAGGAAAAAAATAAATTTGAGGTTTAATCTGGAAAAACCACAAAATATAAGGTCTTTTTTGAGATTAACCCTAAAGTCTATCTACCCAATTATAGCAGTAAAAGTTGCTTTGTATTTAATTTATAATGCTTTAATTGAGTAGATTTTTCAAAGTGCAATGCTTTAATAGGAGGAAATGAAAGTAGAATTCTGTAATAAACAAATGGGTTAATCTCATAAAAGACCTTATATTTTGTGTTTTTTCCTGATTAAACCTCATCTTTATTTTTTCATGAAATAGACCTTATATTTTTCCTTTTTTCCGAAAAAAACCCTCAACCTTCTAAATGTTTCCAAATAAATCCTCAACTTTTTTAGTTTTTCCTGAAAAAACCCTCACATTTTACAAATTCCTTTAGAGAAAAATGACTAAAAGGGCCAGATCAGGAAAAAATGAAAAAACACAAGGTCTTTTTCCTTCAAAAAATAAATTCGAGGTTTAATCCTGAAAAAACATATATAAGGTCTTTTATGAGATTTACCCTAAACAAATCAGTGGAAGAATGTTGCTATTTTTAGTAGACAGAGTCCTTTTTTTCTTTTTTCTACATGATGATGATGTAATTAAATGCAATAATTTATTTAAAACTAATATATGTATTTTTTCTGTTGAATGAATTAGGAACTGGACATGGTGTAGGAGCTGCATTAAATGTTCATGAGGGCCCACAAAGTATCAGCTTCAGATTTGGCAATATGACTCCTTTGCTTAAAGGCATGATTATCAGCAATGAACCAGGTTATTATGAGGATCATGCCTTTGGTATTCGAATTGAGGTATTTTCATTTTCTGTTGTAATGAGGGACAATTTGGTCTTTTAACATATACTATATGATATTGATTGATGTTTTTGGTATAATATGTGAATTGTGATTGCAGAATCTTCTATTTGTCAAAGAGGTTGACACTCCTAATCGTTTTGGAGGAATTACATATATTGGATTTGAGAAGCTTACTTTTGTTCCTATACAGGTGTGTGTTGATAATGTCTATTTTGCCCTTTGAATTTTGAATTTAAGTAAAATAAACTTATCATTAACTTTTGTTAATAATTACAATTTACATCATGCAGACTAAATTGGTTGACTTAACCCTACTCTCTGCTGCTGAGGTTGATTGGCTCAATGATTACCATTCACAAGTTTGGGAAAAGGTAAAATATTTATATAATAATAATAATAAAAGAATAAAATAATAATATTTGGTTCAGGTTTCATCATTGGTGGAGGGATCTGCACGTGAGTGGCTTTGGAATAACACGCGTCCAGTTGTAAAGCCATGATTTTCTCTACTTTGTGTATACATGGGATGTCATCTGTATATATAAAAAGAATATGTTGCTGTGAAGTAGAATTTTAATGAAATATTACAATTGTAATTTGTAACATGGCTGCAAACAAAGTATCACATTTTCCATTCCTATTTCTACTTTTGTTTAAACAAAAACAATTTTTACTGTTATACGTTTGGAATAGTGTCTAAATAAGTAAAAAAAAATTAAAAGTACAATGCTATATTTGCTAGATTTTTCAAAATTTAATGTCTTAATAAGAAAAGGATTGAAAGTATGATGTTGTAATAAGTAGAAATGAAAAGATATGCTATGATAAAATAATAATCAAAAGATTGGAAGTACAATGCTATTTTATATGTTCAGTCCTATTCGATATGTATAAATGATATCATTGTTCTATATCATGGATGGCATTTTTCATAACTATCATGAAATAATCATACGATATATAAACATTGTGAAATTATTTTAATTTTGGAAAATTGTAAACGATGTGGGCACGCTGGGAAACACTCTATTTATCATTCTCTTTATTATTATTTTACATATTTTATACCCACCCCCCCCCCCCCCCCCCCCCCCCAATTTATTGCTGTGAAGATGACAACGAGAGGCAATGCCCGGTGGAGTACCAAAACTCAATCCCAGTACGCGATCATGTTTTTTCATTTAATTTTTTTTTTATATACATTTAAAATGGAAATTAGAGTGTGGTGCTATTATGGAGGATGACATGACAAATGACGTGGTAAAAAATTAGTGTACATATGATGACACATACCTAGTGACAATTCAACAGAGGATAGCTTCGATGGTGGGTCTTAGAGCTAGAGTATCGAGACTCAAACTACTATGTGTGGTGCATGCATAAATGGAGAAGAAGATGTTGATCATATTTTGGTAAGGTGTCTGTTTTCCAAAGTTTTGAGGGATAAAATCTTCAATTGGTGCGGCTTACAGAATCATTCATTCAATAGCATTGGTGAACTGCTCAGATTTGCTGCAAATTGGAGGAGTCCTAAAATGAAAGTTCGGTTCCATACCATCTGCTATGGTCTATTTTGGAATCTATGGAAATATCGTAATGATCAGATGCTCAGTCAGACAGGTGTTCATCAGTCCTTCGTATGGTGTAGAGCAAATCAAATCAACTCTATATATGTGGGTTAAATGTAGGGGTAAATGTGGTATCTGTTCATGGGAAGAATAATCATCATCGTCTTTTGTATTTGATAACTTTTATACTCTGTTTTTTGTTGCTCGTTTTTTTTTCTCACCCTTGATAGTTACTTACTAGTCGGAGGTTTTTATTTTTATTAATAATATTTGTCGTTTCCAAAAAAACCTAACGGCCATATGAACGATATGCTCTACAAAAACATTTTGCATTTAATTTTGGGGAAATTATTGTTGGCATTTAATTTTGATATTTAATATTAAGAAATTAGTTTTGATGAAGTTATTGTATTTAATTTTGCAAGATTTTAGTTATGCCGAAATTAGTTTTCGCATTTAATGTTAGCATCTAATTTTGATGAAGTTATAGGGATTTATAATTCGATTAAAAGGTTTGGAATGTTTATCCCGATAATATAGTTAAAACTAAGTTAAATATATTATAATTAGTATACACATGAAATTATTATTTGAATATATTTATGAAATACATGGTTAGAAAAATACAAAAACTTTTGACTTTTTAGGGAGAAAAGAAATAATCATCTTGTGAATATAATTAAAATTAAATTAAATAATATATTAGTGTACACACAAATTTAATATAAGAATCCAATTATAATCTTATGAAATACACACTTTGACTTTTGGAAGAAAAAATATAATTTTTATTTTTTTCAATATGATTATAATATACGAAATATATAGTTAAAAATATGAAATTTTGTAGTAAAAAGTTAATTTGTGAAAGGCCGTGTTATATATATCCCCATTCCTTAAAAAAAAACATCAAACAATCACACATATTCATACACTCATGAAGTATAACCAGTAATTAAAGATACAAATAAACTTCATGACCGAAAAATAATCCCTAATAAATATTCATACACTCATGAAGTATAACCAGTAACTAAAGATACAAATAAACTTTTTACTCATTCCATCTCAAAATTATAACTAATCTTTCCTTTTTTGTTTATCCCAAAATACTCCAAATTAAAATAATCCCTAATAAATATACACATAAATATACACATGTATGAGAATATGATTACAACTTACAATTAATGAAATATATGTGGTTAGAAAATATAAAATTTTTTGACTTTTTATAATATTTTTTTTCGGTCATAAAGTAATAATTAAAATCAGATTAAAATTATATAATGAATATACACATGAAGTTATTATGAGAATATGATTACAACTTACAATTAATGAAATATATGTGGTTAGAAAAATATAAAAACTTTGACTTTTAGAGGAAAAAGAAGAGTGTTTTTATCTTGTGTTTTCAGCAATCTTTAAATGCTCCGTCCCAGTAAGCAAACTGACAGCATAGGAGACAAACTCAACCGACAAGATGAATCAGCAAAGCCCTAAAAATGGAATTGCTACGCCTTCATTTCTAGTTGTGAGTGAACGAGAGTGACATTAGGGCTTTATATTTATCACTATTCAACCTACAGCTGGGAGTAATTGAAATTCAAAAAATGGGAGAGGAGCAAGGGAAGAAGGTGCTGGAGGATGGATGGTTGGCTGCTCGATCCACCGACGTTGAACTCACCGGAATACAACTGACGACTACTCATCCGCCTTCGTCTGATGCTTCACCTTGGATGCCTGCTGTCATTCCTGGAACGTATGGAAATCTCGCTCTCCTTTTCTCCCTGTTTGTACAGATTTAGCTTTTGAATATTGTTAATGTAGGTTTTGATTCCCATTAAGATCAAACATGTCCTTCTCACTTGTAAACATTTTTTGCGTCAAATTGATACTATTTTTCTGCAACAGTGATGCTTATTTCGTGCGAACTTTTTGAAAAAAATCTGTTGATTATCTCGTCTATTTGAACATAGTTGTGACGGTTTTACTTTGATGTTCTAAATTAACTGCTAAGTTTCTTGTCCTGGAAAAATTTCAAGGTGAATCTACTGTTCAATTTATGATTGCAAAACGTTAATGTTTATGTAAACTTGGTGTTACAACATTGTCTTGTACCTTCTACACATGAGGATTCAATGTCAGCAATGTCAGCATGCCTTTTCTAAAAGAACTTACCATAAATTAGAAACTAATGCATAACATGCTATGTCTTTTCTTATCTAATTATGGATATAATAAAAATAACCATGAATATCTCCTTGCTTTATAAACAAAGTAAAAAAGAAAATTACTGTTGATATGTCTTCTTTGAATGCAATCAAGAAATTGATGTTTGACTAGTGTATCAATATTAGTCATGAAGGATAAATGAAAAAAAATAGCAACGTACTTCCATTTACTTGTTTATCATAGCATCCTACTTTCATCTTGTTCTATTACAACATTATACTTGAAATATTCTACATAATTATAACTCTCATAACACTAATCAAGTAATCATAATGCAAATATATCAGTCAACTTACATGTCCTACTTATAGACATCTGTTTTATTCAATGCATAAGCTAATATAGTTTTGTTGGCAGTGTTTTGGCAACCCTTTTAAAGAACAACCTCATCCCAGATCCTTTCTATGGGATAAATAATGAAGCAATTATGGACATTGGTGATTCAGGGAGAGAATACTACACCTTTTGGTTTTTCACAACTTTTCAGTGTAAGCTGGTATGTCACACTCACACATTTTGTTACAAGTATTTTATTTATGAAATGACACCTTCTATGCATTTAAATGCCTGCTATTTCTACAAAATAAGTTCACAATTAGGTAATGTTACAATCATAATGAAAAAGTCTCATGGTACTATATAACTAACTAAAAACATAAACAAAGATCAAACAACAAAACAAATGATATTCATATTCTTCCTTGGATATTTTTTTTTTCAGTCAAGTGGTCAACATGTTGATCTTAATTTTGGTGGAATCAATTACTCTGCTGAAGTATACTTGAATGGACATCAAACCATTTTGCCAAAGGGAATGTTTCGCAGACATTCAGTTGATGTGACTGATATTCTTCTTCCTGAAGGTCAAAATATGCTTGCAGTTCTTGTCCACCCACCTGATCATCCTGGTAAAATTCCTCCTCAGGGAGGCCAAGGGGGTGATCATGAGGTAAGATAAAACTTAAAAGGGATAATTTTGTTTTACTAAAATAGAATGCATTGTACTTTCAAGATAATGACATAATGTGTGTTTATACCAGATTGGGAAAGATGTTACTACACAATATGTTCAAGGCTGGGATTGGATGGCTCCCATAAGGTAAAAACATCAAAATTCTTGTTAATCCAAACCTACTTTCATTTTTGATATTGCTTGAATAGTTATATTTATATATCTTCTTCTTCTTCTTCTTGTTATTTATTTGTTTTTTGATTATTATTTTGGAGTTCCATGATCTTGTGATAGTTCACTAACCAAAAATGGTTTATTTCTTTTAGCATCTGGGATTAGTTTTATACTTTTAGGCTCTTTCAAAGTATGCAAGTTGCATCTATTAAAGTCATTTTACTTTGTTGAGATTCTAAATTTTTATTGAACATAATAAGGTACTGGATTAGTTCATATATCTTATCTTATTTAAGGGTTAAATGCAAGAAATACTACTTTACTTTCACTTCATTGTTTAATGATTACATCTTTGTAAGCTGAAAAATCTACTCAGTTATAGCAATGCCATCAAATACAAAACAATTTCACTGCTACAATTGGGTAGATTTTTCAATAAGAAAAAAACCTACAAGTACAATGCTTGCTATAATGGGGTAGATTTTTAAAGTAGAATATATTGATAAGAACAAAATTGGAAGTTGAGTGCAATGTTGTAATAGAAAGAAATGAAAATAGGAATGCTATATTAAAGGCAATAAATAAAATAGCACCTATACTCTTCAATCATGTGTGTTCATTTTTTTATTTATTATTTTTTTTTTGTAGGGATAGGAACACTGGCATTTGGGATGAGGTATCCATCACTGTTACTGGGGTGAGTCCTTGATTAAATGCTAACTTTTTCATGGGCTAATTTCTATCTCTTTTATAGACTCACACTCACTTATAAAGTTATAATACATTTGAAAATTAGAAACATTGTCATTGTAAATTCATTTAAGATTTTTGGAAATCCCATATAGATTATGATTTGAATCTAATATTTAATCCTTGCTTATAGTTTCCATTTACACCATTGCAGCCTGTAAAAATAGTAGATCCTCATTTGGTTTCATCATTCTTTGATGGCTACAAGAGGGTTTATCTGCATGCTACTGCAGAATTAGTAAACAAAAGTGCCATGTCAGCAAACTGTTCCTTGAAAATTCTAGTGTCAACCGAACTCGATGGAAATACCAATTTGGTTGAACATCTTCAGACACAGAATTTGTCAATCCCTGCTCAATCCAACATCCAATATACATTTCCTCAGGTCAAGTTTTTCAACTTCTTAATTTCTCATATTTTTTTAATCTCTAAAATTATGTTACTATGAATTTTGTGATCATATCTCCATAAATAAACTATGTAGAAAAATAAAATGAAATGTTTAATTCTTATTAACAAACATGGTGATGATTTTTGGTTTCAGATGTTTTTGTACAAACCAAATTTATGGTGGCCAAATGGCATGGGAAAGCAATCTCTTTACAATGTTGAAATTGGTGTTGAAGTTGATGGTTATGGAGAGTCTGATTCATGGAGTAATCATTTTGGGTTCCGAAAAATTCATAGTGAAATCGATACTGTCACTGGTGGAAGGTATATATATATATAATTTATTATTCGTTATAAATTATATAATGCTTAATAAGATTTTTTTTGGAAGTGCATTTAGCCCCTTTTTGGTTCTGTTTTCAGGCTGTTTAAGGTGAATGGAGAGCCTATATTTATTCGTGGTGGAAATTGGATTCTTTCTGATGGTTTGCTGAGGCTTTCAAAGAAGCGTTATGAAACAGACATCAAGTTTCATGCAGATATGAACTTTAACATGTTAAGGTGTTGGGGTGGTGGATTAGCTGAAAGATCTGATTTTTATCACTATTGTGATATTTATGGTTTGCTGGTAACTCTCCTCATCCTCATTTTTATAACATGTTATTTAGGAGCAAATGAATAGTATTACTCCATATTTGGATTAATACTATTAAATATTCAAACTACAATGCTATAATAGAAATAAATGAAAGTAGAATGCTATAACAAACAAATTAACAACATTTTAGGTTTGGCAAGAGTTTTGGATCACCGGAGACGTAGACGGGAGAGGGGACCCGGTTTCAAACCCTGACGGCCCACTAGACCACAACCTTTTCTTATTATGCGCACGCGACACCGTCAAGCTTCTAAGAAACCACCCCAGTCTAGCTCTCTGGGTCGGAGGAAACGAACAAACCCCACCCGATGACATCAACACCGCCTTAACAACCGACCTAAAACTCCACCCGTTTTATCTCAAATCCAATTCCAATTCCACTTCCACAACATCAAAAGACGAAACTACCCTTACTTTGATGGACCCGAGTCAATATCTAGATGGAACTCGGGTTTACATAAAAGGGTCGTTATGGGAAGGGTTTGCAGATAGTAACGGGGGTTGGACGGATGGACCTTACGAGATTCAAAACCCTGAGGATTTTTTTAAAGATGAGTTTTATAACTACGGGTTTAACCCTGAGGTTGGGAATGTGGGGATGCCAGTTGCGGATACTATTAGGGCGACTATGCCTGAGGAAGGATGGGTGATTCCATTGTTTAATGAGTTGGAGAGTGGTTATGTTGAGGAAGTGGCAAATCCTATTTGGGTGTATCATAAATACATTCCTTACTCCAAACCAGGAAAAGTACATGATCAGATATTGATGTATGGGAAACCCAAGGATCTTGATGATTTTTGTCTCAAGGTGTAACATCAACTTGATGATTATTGTTATTGTTATTGTTATTGTTAGTGATACTGTCTGTTTGAAATATTTTATAGGCTCAATTGGTGAACTATGTTCAATACAGAGCATTATTAGAAGGATGGACATCGCGTATGTGGAGTAAATACACAGGTGTTTTGATATGGAAAACTCAAAATCCATGGACAGGTCTTCGAGGTCAGTTTTATGATCATCTTCATGACCAAACAGCCGGATTTTATGGCTGTCGTCATGCTGCAGAGCCAATACATGTCCAATTAAACCTTGCAACTTATTTCATAGAGGTAAATTAAATATCCTTGATTTCTATCAATTCATAATTGAGATTATGATCGATACTGTTTGTTTGTTTCCTTTAATCCAGGTGGTGAACACTACATCTGAGGAACTTGCTGACGTGGCAATCGAGGTATCCGTGTGGGACCTCGAAGGAACATGTCCTTACTACAAAGTATCCGAAACCCTTTCAATCCCTTCGAAAAAAACCGTATCTCTATTTGAAATGAAATACCCAAACTCCAAAAACCCTAAACCCGTCTACTTTCTTCTCCTCAAACTCTACAACACATCAAATTCCCATATAATCTCACGTAACTTCTACTGGCTACACCAACCCAACACTGGTGATTACAAACTCTTGGAACCATACAAAAAGACAAAAATACCCCTCAAGTTGACTTCTGACATTTCCATTAGCGGGTCGACCTATAACGTCCGCGTAAAAGTAAAGAACAAATCAAAGAAACCCGAACCCGTAACTTTACTCGACAAAAACAAATTCATGGAAACAAATTTGGATTGTGATTTTGATGAGGTGGATAAGAATAAGAATAAGAATAAGAAAAAGGAAATTGGTTTGTTTAAGAAGGTTTATGGTTTATTGAAAGAAGATGATGATGGTGTTAGAGTGTCGGAAGTAAATGGTTCGGGGGTTGGAGTGGCTTTTTTTCTTAATTTTTCGGTTCGGGGTTCGGGGAAGGGTTTTGAGAAAAAGGGTGATAAGAGGATTTTACCGGTTCATTATTCGGATAATTATTTTTCGTTGGTTCCTGGTGAGGAGATGACGGTTAATATTTCTTTTGAAGTTCCGGAAGGTGTGACGCCACGTGTTTCGCTTCGTGGGTGGAATTACGATGGTGGACATACTGTTCGTTAAAATGGGGAATAAATTCAAGGATATGTTTTTTTTTTTTTTTTTTTTTTTTTTTTTTTTTTTTTTTTTTTTTTTTGGAATAAGAGAATCCCTCTGAGGATTGTTGTTGTTAAATGTTTGTGGTGGTATGAGAAAGTTGGAGACATTAGTAGGGAGGAGTTCAGGTTGTGTTGTTGTAATTAAGGAGATACATGTGTGTGTATCTTTAAATGAAAGGAAATCAGTTTTGTGTTGTGAATATGTGCGCGATTTTATTTTCATGTGGTACTTACCTTAGTTTTTGCAATTGTGCTCCACATCAATACAACTATATTCATTTTCAAATCAGTTTTGCAATTGGTCTAGATCGATTTTCAGGATCCGTCTTCATTGCCAAGCTCGCCGGATGAAATAATGGCTTTGCACTCCAGCTGTTTGATGTTTGTCCCATTTTAACCTTTAAGCATCCATGACCATCAGAGTCTCTTGGTGATTGGAGTTCTGTAGAATCGTATATTCCATCTGCCTTGAAGTATCGAGCTCCAATTATTTTGCTGGATATATACGTGATAAAGAGAGAAGTCAGAAATTAAAAATCCTTGTTTCGTGAAGATGATGTGAAACATATATAACTATAGCGAGCTCTTGCGGGATTCCGATTCATTGATTTGTTGTTGATTTCACTATTTTGGTTATATAAATGATAGGTTTCAAGCAAGCCTCCTACAAGTTGAAATCAAATGCCAACTTCATTGCCCACTATGTGTTCGATAAAATGCCAAAGTGAAATTTTCAAAAACTACAACCATATTTTTAACTTTATTCAAGCTGTTTTATTTTACATCTCATGCAAAACCATGGCTTTTATTGTACAAAGTTCCTTAAGGCTATTTATCCCCCGGATTTGGAATCAAGATTGATTGTGAGCCCATCGCCCTTGCTTTCAAGGATATGTAGCGTTTCTTCCCGGTGATTTCTTCATTTGGTGCACGCCAACTTTTGTTTGCGGTGTTTCTATCATAGGGTTTCGACGTTTTCTTTAGGGCTTCAGCTCGAGGCTTAATTTGCTTATCTTTTCTTTTCATGGCTGCTTCTTCTACTTCTTCGATCGCTACTTGGCCATGTCCTTTTCGGGGGTTTCATTGTTGCCCGGATGGCCAGGTGGGGTCTAAGGGGATTTCTCGTTTGATATCTCATATTAAGAGGTTACACCTTGCTTCCGATGAACGTAAAAATGTGTCGCGGGAGGCTATTTCTGGGGACCATGGATTGTATACGGATGTAGAAGAAACATTAAAGGCGTTTGGTCAATGGATATGTGCTAATTGTATGAATATTCATGCATTGAGTCGTTATTGCCACCACCCTAATGGCCTTGTACAATTTACTGGTGGGCTCGACGACATGAGTGGACACATTATTGGCATTTCAAAGTCAGCTTCCATAGGGCATGAAACTGTAGTACTTGAAGGGATGGCTTTGGATGTTGTGCTGCTTGATCGTGTTTTCAAGGCACCTATTACTCCGCTCCTAAAACCTGACAATGGAATTCGTCCTATTGTTGTGGGCACTATATGGAGGCGTTTGGTCTCAAAGGTTGCTATGAAAGGAGTTGGTAAAGAAATGACACAATACCTTAATGACTTTCAATTTGGAGTAGGTGTGTCGGGTGATGCTGAAGCTGTACTTCATAGTGTCAATAGGGTGTTGAGTGTACGTCATGATGATGGATCTCTTGCAATGCTTACTGTGGATTTCTCAAATTCCTTCAATTTAGTCGATAGATATGTCAGGATGAGGTGCCCTTCCATTTCCTTATGGGTCGAATTCTTATATGGCCATGCAGCAAGGTTGTATTTGGGAGATAAGCATATTTGATCCACTACTGGGGTCCAGCAAGGCGACCCTTTGGGACCACTTCTTTTTGCTCTAGTACTGCACCCACTTATACATCAAATTAGAGACAATTGTAAGCTTCTTTTTCATGCTTGGTACCTTGATGATGGGACAGTCATTGGAGATTCAGAGGATGTGGCCAAAGTATTGGACATCATTAGGGTGGCATGCCCAGGATTGGGGCTTGAGCTGAATATCAAGAAAACTGAGCTATTTTGGCCTTCATGCGGTGGTAGGAAGCTTCGTTCAGGTTTATTCCCTGCTGACATTGGGCAACCGTCAGTGGGGGTGAAGCTTCTTGGGGGAGCTGCTAGTAGAGATGTGAGTTTTATTAGCGGGCTAGCCATGAAGAGGGTTGCCAAGGCTGTTGATTTGATGCACCTTCTACCACAGTTACATGACCCCCCAGAGTGAGCTCATTTTGCTTCGATCTTGCATGGGCATCACCAAACTTTTCTTTGGCCTGAGAACGTGCCAACCCGTTCACATGGAAGAGGCTGCTTTGTGTTTTGATAAAGGGTTACGTGGGTCGATTGAAGACATTGTGATTTGCGGGGGTCAATTATTTGGGTACCTTCAATGGCGACTGACTTCGTTACCAATTAGGTTTGGTGGTTTGGGGCTGTACTCAGCAGTAGAGGCTTCCTCCTATGCTTTTGTGGCCTCACGAGCTCAATCGTGGGTGTTACAAGACCACATCTTACGAAATAGCGGCATATGTGGTATGGATTCAGATTATGTTTGTGCTTTGGCCTGTCTTCGTGATACGATTTTGGGCTTTGACTTCACCGGTTTTTGTCACACCCCCGAACCGGAACGGCAGAAACGTCCGGGGGCGAATGACTTCATCTTGTAATATCATAACAAATGTATATAAATGAAACATAGACAATCATCATCACCATACATAAAATATAACAACATACATGGTTTGCATCATTGTATCCATTCATAAATTACATCCCAAAAATTAACAAGTGTATAGTGAAAACAGAATACAACAATTTCCCAAAAGTCCAAAGCTGCCAACCTGCTTAATGAGTTCCTGAGAATACAAGTTATTTTGAAAAGCGTCAACATATAAAATGTTAGTGAATTCATAAGCATGATTATCTAAAAACTTTGCATTGGTTTGTAAACTCCAGAAAATCTGATATTTTCTAAAATAAATAGTTTGTGAGTATTGTTTCAAATCTCGTATTGTAGCATGTGTGTCAATGTTGATAGAGTATAGGGGGTGTTTCCCAGAAAATCTTGTATTTTCTGATTTATAAAATAAAATGTGGTCTTAACCCCGAGACCTGAGTGGTGGAGTTAAACGAAAGATAGTGAACGTATGGTTCGTACTTTGTAACATGAGTAGAATATGTGTATTGCGTAATTGTGTTGTTATTCTCTATGTGAGTCGTTATAATCATACTAATATGACGGAGTGCCTGTCTTGACGTTCTTCAGGTGTCGGTTTCTGAGAAGACATTTGTCACCCTAGACTGACCTGTCTAGCTGTAGCGAGCAACTAAGGTGTGGGGGTGTCAACCCCGTATAGATCTATACACAAATTCTCGTTCTCCCTCCAGGAGACTCTGGTTATAACTACAGGGCTTACGGTGTACACTAAGGTAGGTACGTTGAATGTGCGTCTCACAAGAGCCTTAACGAAAATTACGCGAATTGTGTGTTTCATTATTTTAACGTTAAAATAATGTTACGGGTGTCTCTTTTTGACTATAACTCATAAATAGTAAAAATGTAATCATTTTTATCGAGAGTGTCGGAATTTACATAAAATTGTCAATTGTTAACGATATGTTCACGTTGTTTCAACGTTGTTATCAAAATAGTCAATTGTTAACGATATGTTCACAAGAGGTCCAATTTACATAAAATTGACACTAAGGCCTAATTAACATAAAAGATGTCATATAAGGCCCAATTAGGATAGAAGGGCCATATAAGGCCCTATTTTTGGTCCAAATTGATATAGGTGGCCCATTTTACTAAATATAATCCAATTTCTTCCCATTTTATATAAAAAGTCATTTTTAGCCCAAATTTGTTAAATAGTTTATTTTCGGCCCATTGTAATTGAAAATGTCATAAAAAGCCCATTTTTACCAAAACTGACAATTTTAGCCCAAAAATACCGAAATGACAATAAAAGCCCATTTTTATCAAAAATGACACTTTTAGCCCAATAAAACCGTGAATGTCAAATAAAGCCCATTTTTATCAAAAATGACATTTTTGATAAAAAATACAACTGTGAATGTCAAATAAAGGCCATTTTTATCAAAAATGACACTTTTGGCCCAATAAAACCGTGAATGTCAAATAAAGTTCATTTTTATCAAAAATGACACTTTTGGCCCAATAAAACCGTGAATGTCAACTAAAGCCCATTTTTATCAAAAATGACACTTTTGGCCCAATACAACCGTGAATGTCAAATAAAGCCCATTTTATTTATCTTTATTGTCAAGTGTGGCCTCTTTCTATACTTTCTTTGGTTTTCTAGTCACTTTTAACATGTTTAATCTTTCCAAGCATCATAGTGAGTTACATAAAGTAACTTGTTTCCTAATATCTTCAAAACTTGGAAGATATTTCGAGTTTATGAGTGTTTAACATAGTTTCACAACATATCACACAACATATCATGAAAAATATACACATGCATGCATAAATACTAAGATTCTACACAAAACTAGCTTGTATTCTCCCCCAAAAGATAGTAAATCACGAAAACAACGGGTATGAAGCTCACCTTGAGGTTTGATCGGTTTTGAAGAGAAAGAGGAAGGAAGGTTTTCGGCCTAGATAGCTTCCTTGAGGAGAGTTTCGAAGTTGGGATGGTTCTAAGAAGCTTGAACACGAAATGAAGCTGTATAAGGAAGAGTTCTTAGTGTAACATGGAATTAAATACTTGAAAGTTATGTAACTTACCAAAGATGTAAAGCTTGAAGTGAACTTCTTGTTGCATACACCCAAAACCCACGGTTTTTGGAGCAAGAAGTGAAGAGAGCACTTGAAGGTTAGAGAGGAAGGAAGATGTGTGTGTGAAGTTTGAAATGAATGGGAGGGTGAATGAGAGAGGATCGGCCGAGATAAGGAGGAGAGGGAAAGAGATTAGTGGACAATACTTAATGGCTA